TTTAAAATTAATTTGTTAAAAATTACTTTAAACATTTCTAACAAATATCAAAAATTTGGTTAACTTTCACGGATAACGGTATTTTGATACTTCTTTTAATGCCTATCTTTAAAAGAAAACCGGTTTGATTGCATTGCTAAAATAGCTTACTCGAGAAATCCGAATTATAAAGAAGGCGAAACATATACGGTCGTCATCAGATCTACATAGAAGAAATAATAGATTGACATATTACTTACATGTTCATTTACCAGACTTGTTTTACTTTCGTTGATTCATTTTGATAATTGACTTAAAGAAGCACCCAGTAAAGATATATGAATACTTGTTTATTTTTCTCTGTTATTTATTTGATAGTTAAGTACATGCAACAAATATGTTTGCAGTAAACTTAACATGGCTATTTATCAGATTTCATTTATGTATCAACATTCAATGTAAAGAATTATAGTTAAAAGATGCATTCTGTCTCAAAAGAGACTACATTTTTACTGCTTTCGAAGGGCAAACATAAATTTTAGAACTTAGATAATGGTGATTGAACATGAAAGATGGTTATTTCCTGAAGAAAATAGCGCTAAATGTGAAATAATTCGTCATAAAAGTTGTTAAATGTAGTAAATACGAGTGCACTTGTCGCTAAAAAGCATCGGAAGAAAAAGATGGCTCTGAACAAATGCCAAAAAGTGTAACCTTTTGGAAACTATAAAAATAAACTAAAAACAAAAAGCTTTAGAGAAATAAACATACAAGCAAATATATGGGAATAATGGGCCTTTAAATAACCAACATATTTCTAAAAAAAATCTCTTGTAGTAAAAATTCAATATGAAAAGATGCTATCTGAACGATATGACAAGCATGCCAGACATATCTTAAGATAAATGTCAACATTATTTAAATCACATGGCAGATATATCTTAATCAGATGCATGAAGTTAAAGCGTAACCATGTGGTGTTTGTTACGAAAATATTCATTCACAAATCATTGTTATATGCAAAACTCAATATGATATGATCGTTACTTTACTTTTCGTTTTTATCTCACACCTGTTTTTTGTTTCATTTTCTTGTAGATAATACAAATAGCCAGTTAGAAGCTCATTTTATGAACAATCATTTAGATTGCCAGCTATCAAAGAATTCGTTTTTGTGGTGATAGCAAAACAATCATGTTCTATTTAAAATTGCAAAAGATATTGCCGATCAAGTCATTCATACAATTTTGAATTTAAATATGTTCAAGTTTATCTTTTGATATAACAGTTTTATGCTTGATTTAAAGTGAAACAAATATGTTCACCAATTTGTTGTATTTGAAAAAAATGCAAAAACGTCATATCTACATGAAAAATGGGTATATTTCTATAAAATTGAAAGGAAACAAAGAGTGAAAATAACAGACCGGAATCGTGGATATTACTAACTTAAAATAAAACAGGTTCTTAAACATCACTTTTAGAAACAATTACGAAAAATAAATACTTGAAGACAGTGGTTTATATAACACATAGAATTTGTGGCTTGTTAAAGTAAATAGTTCTCAGGTATTTGTTTGTTACAGTATCAAACTGTTTATTATGGTTACATTTGTTTTTATATTTATAAGCTTTTCTAAAGTTGGTAAAATCCTTTGAAGACTTACGACGGGTGACGTTTCTATTAGGAATGGAATAAAAGAACACACCGTTGTATGGTAAAATGAAATGAAAATGAATAGCATATTTACATTTCCAGAAGTTTTATATCATTATTCCTGTTGACATCAAAGTCATTTAAACTAACAAACAGGAATAGTTTTATAGATATACCCGTAAAATATTTCACCTTACATGGTTCATAATATGTTTGGTTTATAATATGTTTACATATGTCTTCCCATATTTTTTTCTCCTGTTTGTACTGTGTTTTATCCGCATAAAAACAGCTTTTATTAGCTTCAGTGAAAGAAATGGGTTGAATTTTATAAGTATTGTAACCGAGCCTCATTGCTTATATTTCTTTATAATCTCTTGTATTCTTCAACTGATATTTAAACTTTCTTTGAACGTCTGTTGACCTTTGTCCAAAGAGAACACATAATAATAATAAAGTAAAACACCATTAACAACCGTATCTTTTGATTATCTTATCTTGAAAATATATCAGCGACACTGTATGGGATTTCCGTCCGAAATCTTTGTTATGGATGTTTTCAAAAGAAGAAGCTCTTCAGATTTGCAAAGAACCCTTTGCATATTCATTAGAATCTGACAAGTTACTTCCGGAATAGTTTGGTTTGTATTAGGCAAATGTAAGATAAATATTGGCCTTATTGAAATAGTTCATGTCTTCTGTTACAACTTGTCTTTAGAAAGACAAATGAGTGTAAAATGGTTATATAAAAGTAAAGCCTTATGACTTTATGTCTTTGAAATTATCAACGATTTTAGATGTAGGATTTTTGTCAGTTGTGTGCAACGTAAACTGTAATGAATTATTTTTGTTTGGCAATTTGATTTACGATCATCTATGTCATTTTTGTATTATTTGAATATACCGCATCTAGATCGAGACTTAGATTGACTGGATTGATTGATGTTTTATAAAACACAATATGGCATCAAAAAAAAAATAAATCGATATATAACGTAAATTTATTATTTGTTTGATAGCACTTTAACGTTTGATTATTTCTAATACAATCATTGTGTTATTGCAGTATGATAAAAGTTTGGAATGTATTAATGAAACGTTTTTACTATCATAGAATGATATCTTTATCAATTTGACCAAACAAAATCTTAAATTTTCTGGGAACAGTTTGACGAAGAATTATTTCGATCCATATCCGTTTTAAAGAGAATTTATCATAATTTATTTTAGCCACTGATGCGATAATTATTAAAGTCACTATAATCAGAAGTCAATATGTATTGGTAAGTAAAATTGCAACAAGAGCTTAATTACTCAAAAGGAACGTACCTTATGACACAAGACTAACGTGAAAGACTTCTAAAAGACTCTTTATAATGTATAAATATTTTGTAACAAATTTTAAGAGATAAAAATACAAAATCTTTAAGTTCATCTGCGGTATCATATCTCTATGTAATTTCTCTCTTACAAAAGGTGTGACACTGTGGTGATTTTATTTTTGACACGATAATGTTTGCAGTAACCTTCCTCACTTGAACGGCATATTATCACAGGAGTTCAGATATCTTAAAATAAAGAAAGATATTCAATTTCAGTATTGTAACACATGCACATATAACCACCAATATATCAATCGAATATGAGGACCAAGATCCACAAGACTGAACGACGTTAACAGAGATCAACACTTGACAAATCAAGACATACAGGAGTATTGCAAAGATACCCAATCCAAAAATGCACCACTAAATGGTGGACCAATAAACGATTCCAATTTACAACTAAAATCGAACACTGTAAGAGATTGGACAACCTTACAATTACTATTAAACTATTAATGGTGTAGAACATTAATGTATTTCATGACAACCCGCCCGGTTTTTGCACGAACAGTTTAATAGTTTATTGTCTCATTCCAAGCATGTCATATATACAATACATCACAATGTTCAATCATATTAAAAAACATGTTGGACCAATCTCGATAGATTTATAAGAGACATTTAAAAACATGATGATACTGGTAAAATATATTCTATAGCTAAAAACCAATTTACTTTATAACCAAGTTACATGTATATATAACAGACATTTTTGTTTATTCCTTCATGAAAAAACAATATACTTCAAAAAATAATGCCCAGAATATTTGTGACAATACTACTGCAATTTACTTGTTATGTGAGTGAGGCCAAATATGTTCGTACAAAGGTGTAAGTTTAGTGCAGCATACATGTACCCAGCATTGCTGTATATTTCTCATTATTCAGTAAAAGAGTAATAATGTTCCAAATGAATGCATATATCATGGAGTATAATGTTTTAACCCAAAAAAACACTTGATTGTGAAAGGTGTGTGACCTAAAATATTTGAATAAGTACATGATTATGCTAAATGTGTAATCCAATAAGTACATGATTAAACATGGTGTGTGAGTCCCAAGGTACAAAATTGAGCATGATGTGGCAATAAGTACATGATTGAACATGGTATGTGTCCCAATAAGTACAAGATTGTACATGATGCATAACCAAATAAGTACACGGTAGAACATGGTGCGTGAAAAGTCATTATTCTGCACTACCTTAAATGACAGTATAATGAATAATATTAACAATAATTGGTAATGTCCTGTCCTGTTTGTTGTCCTGTTGTGTTCCTTGCCGGTGGTACTGTGTTGAGGGATGCGTTCATTAAATGCCGCATTCCCTTGTTGATTTTGTTTTTCATATTTATCTTATATATCCCTGTTAAATAATTACAAAGATTGAAAATCAGGCAGTGATGAGTAATGTGTTAACAAGTAAGTAGATATATATACACAATAAATCAAATTGCAGTGACGTTTATGTAACACTTATTATCATCATAACTGATTTATGTTTCCACATGTATTCATTTAGGAATAAAAATCACCGCTTCGGAAAATATCCTTATTTATAAATAAATAAAAATCCCAAGCCTTATCGTGTTTCATGACACTTCCATGTAAATTTAAGGTATACTGTAGGTTTCATTAATTCCGGGGTATCACTCCTTTATCAGATTTGTATGATAAAATCATTTAGTTTGAGTCTTAATATAATGACAAATGACACTGGCTACATGTATTATAACTTTTAATAGAAAAAGACCGAAAATTGATAGATTTGACAAATAAATAGGCTAGTTACAATTCACATGGAATGAATCTTCAATATTACTCTTATGTGCCACACTGTGGCATATTATTTATACAAAATAAAATGAGTGTTTTCAGAATGAAAACAAACCATCTAAGGACTTAACAATGCGCCTTCCTACACTATATATTGCACTGTGGGTTTCACAAACAGGATTGTAATTTTCTACGAAACAATCTACATTTTATACTTTTTATTATATGATTATAACTTATAACTGAATTAAACAAAGTATACCACATTGCTTCTATTTACTGAATAAGTCGTTTCAATTTCAAGTTGAATAAATACTATACAAGACGACACTTTTAATGACATTAGATTTCCATCACCGTCCTTGAATAGGCTCAATCAAACGAACCCTGTGACATTTTTAATTTTCTCGTTTTGGGCGTTATTTAGAGATTTCGTTTTTCTTTTCTTTTCTTGTCCTTGATAACGTTATTTTATTGACAATCGTTTTTTTTCATTCTTAGGGTTAATAAATTTATTAATATCTTGACAGTAAATACCTTATCGCATCTAAATTTGTATTGTTTAGGTAAAAAAATCGTATTTCGAAGCATCCAGATAAAAGAATGATTAACAATTTTGAAATGGTGCTTAAATGCAGTCTGTTTGACGCCAACTTTTACATACTTTTGGTCATATCTCGGTGTGCAGTTTACATACCGGGTTTCCTGGATAACTAACCAGTAATTACTTTTATTGCAAGTGACCGACTGATAATCCCGCATTACTTCTAGATTAGCGGCGAGAGACAAATAACCATTAGATTCAAAATCAGAAATTTATTGTCATGGCAAAATTTTACCTCGTTCGAGCACCTGACATCAGCGACTCCTCGATTACAAATTCTATGTTCTCTCAATTGAGAAAAGCGGACTTTTATAAGAAGGAGATATTTCTTCTAAACAAAATGCATGTTAGATCCGCTACAAATATTTTATGTTTATATTCATAAAATTCATATTGAAGGAAAAACATATTCAGCAATAATTCTAAAAAAAAGTGTCTCAAGGCTAAGCCGACTATTGTTAAAGTAACACAACTGCAACAGTCATTTAACAAACATGGTTCGAGATCAAAGCATGTATTTGATAAAATGTTACCCATACTGACACATTGTAAGTCTCCCATTCTTACTGTTCTATATTGTTCATTTGTTTCAAACTATGGAATCTTGAATTCATGTTCATAACTATTTTACATATTCATTTCTGAAATTGGTTCTTATCTTCATTCGTATTTTGAATAAATTTGAACTCGCTTTGTTCAATCTTACTCAAAACAACAGACTCAGAGCCTGGGGATATTATACAAGGTAAGTTCAAGAAGTTCGTGGATTTTTGCTATCATTTTTTACTTGGTTCATAGAAATAATATGAATCAAATAAGTATCTTTATTTCTAAAAGTAAGTTTTAATTTTATCTTAAAACTTTACTTCCTTTACGAATTATGTGCACTTTAACAATCATATCGTACACTAATTGGACCGGGTAATTGTTGAATCAGTTTCGTAGTAACTGTTAATATAATTCACATAGTTTAACATATTGCATACAAACATTTATAATTAATTCAAGATATCCGCAGAATATCTGCATGATTGTCAGCGTCTAGGTCAGGATGTTCCATACCAAGTTTCATGTAAGCACAAATATATTCAAATACTTTCTTCCAGGCTTCAGACACTTGTTTTGTATAGTGTTCCTTCAGTACTTGCTGTAATCCGTAGTGAAGTGATGGCCAGAGTTTCTAAAATACATTTGAAAGCAAAGTATATGTTACAATGAGTAATACATGTATTATTAAAAATAAATAGTTTTTTTTATCAGTATAATGTTGATTTTGGCTAAAGTTATCATAACAATTGCAATTGCTAATGAGTATTTTGTGGTATCTACACGATTTTTTTCTGTTTAATATTCAACTATATTCCTTCCTTTACATCAAAAAGAAGAACATGTACGTCTTATTGAAAAGGCAAGTAAAAATATCATTTTTTTTTGCAATTTTGCTTCTTAGATTTACAAAATATCAACAAATATCGTTACATATTTTTATCAGTTCCTTTCCATAGCTTTATCGTCGCTTTTTTATTTAGTTACTCATGCGTATAACAGCCATAGACATGTTTGCTTCAGAACATTCACTTTAGATATATAAACTAAAGGATTAATGAAGTACAAATAATCATAGATCTCAGAGGGGTCTTTTTCCTTTAAATAGAACTAAGTAGTATATTGAGGAATAAATTTACTGAGCTAAACCATGATTAAATCCCAAGGATCCTTATGTATCCAGTAAATCAATGTTCTAGTAAAAGTTCATAAACCTATTACCACTAGGAATGAAGACATGTTTACTTACATTAGTGTTATTTGCTAGATTTTTACCAGCTACTTAATGTCTTTCGTGATATCTATTATATTATTTAGTATATCCATTTGGTTTAACATGCTGTTAGAATAAATTGAACTTATTACGTTTATTACCTTTAATGGTTTTTTCCTGTGACCATATCGAATACTACGTTTTTGCATAGGTCGATTATTTAAGTGTTAGACTTAACCGTAACTGAATTAATTTGCTCTTTAGTTAGCATCTTTTAACAAACAGTAGGTCTTGTTCAAAAGATTGTAGAAATTGTAACGATTACTTTAAAAACAAGAGGGCCATGATGGCCCTGAGTCGCTCACCAGAAACAACTGCTTTTCAGTGTTAGAATGTCAATATATTCTAATATTAAATTTGAGCATAGAATATGTTTAAACAATACTTTAATTTAAAAATGCAATGACCTGGGGTATCTAAGCTTTAGCTTAAACCAAGCTAATCAAATTAATATGAACAAACTTGATAAAAAACTACCTAAGAATGCTACAAAGTTTGGTGATCATCTTTCAATTATTTCAGTAGGAAATGATGTTCGAAGGTTTTTTCTATTTTTAGCTTTAGTGGCCCCTAAAAGGGGCTAGTCAAATAAATATAAGCAAACTTGATAAAATAGTACCCAATAATGCTACAGACAAAGTTTGGTGATCATCCATCAATTGGTTCTGAAGTAGAAGATGTTTAAAGGTTTTTCTTTTTTTAGCTTAAGCAGCCCCTAAAAGGGGGCCAATCAAATGAATATGAGCAAACATGATAAAAGATTACCCAAAAATGCTACAGACAAAGTGTGGTGATCATCCATTAATTAGTTCTGTAGGAGAAGATGTTTGAAAGTATTTCTATTTTTAATTTTAGCGGCCCCTAAAAGGGGCTAATCAAATTAATATAAGCAAACTTAATAAAAGACAACCCAATAATGCTACAGACAAAGTTTGGTGATCATCCATCAATTAGTTATGTAGCAATAAATGTTTAAATGTATATCTATTTTTAATTTTAGTGACCCCTAAAAGTATCCATCAATTAGTTCTGTAGGAGAAGATGTTTAAAGGTTTTTCTCTTTTTTTAGCTTTTGTGGCCCCTTAAAGGGGCCAATCAAATTAATATGAGCAAACTTGATAAAACACTACCCAAGCATGCTACATACTAAGTTTGGTGATTATCCATCAATTAGTTCTATAGGAGAAGATGTTAAAAGCTTTTTATATTTTTAGCCCTAGAGACCCCTAAAAGGGGCCAATCAAAATAATATGTAATATGAGCAAACTTGATAAAAGACTACCCAAGAATGCTACAGACAAAGTTTGGTGATCATCCATCAATTAGTTCTCTAGAAATAGACATTTAAAGGTATTTCTATTTTTAGCTTTTGTGGCCCCTAAAACGGGCCAATCAAATGAATATGAGCAAACTTGATAAAACACTACCAAAGCATGCTACATACTAAGTTTGGTAATTATCCATCAATTAGTTCTATAGGAGAAGATGTTACATGTGTAAAAGCTTTTTCTATTTTTAGCCCTAGAGACCCCTAAAAGGGGCCAATCAAAATAATATTAGCAAACTTGATAAAAGACTACCCAAGAATGCTGCAGACAAAGTTTGGTGATCATCCATCAATTAGTTCTCTAGAAATAGAAATTTAACGGTATTTCTATTTTTAGCTTTAGTGGCCCCTAAAAGGGGCCAATCAAATTAATATGAGCAAACTTGATAAAAGACTACCCAAGAATGCTACAAACAAAGTTTGGTGATCATCCAGCCATTAGTTCTGTAGAAGAAGATGTTTAAAGGTTTTTCTATTTTTAGCTCTGCTGACCCCTAAAAGCCAATTGGAATGACATGAGCAAATTCAAGTGTGACTGTCACAAGGATGCTACAGACCAAATTTGAAGTAAATCTGCCCAGTAGTTTCAGAGAAGAAGACGATTGTTGACGCATGACGACGGACGCCGGACGCCGGAGCATCCCCCTTTGATACTAATAGCTCACTTGAGCCTTCGGCTCTGGTGAGCTAATAAAAGGGTAGTCTTAAACACGGACATAGCTGACTTTTTATTATAAAAGGAAATTTCTAGCCGCCCAACGCTGCCAAAATTAAAAGGTACAGCATCGTTTAATCTCAGTCAATGCAATTATCAGATGTTTTATTAACAGAAAATTCTGAATTTTCAATGAACATTGGTTGTGTTATAAGTTTATCAATAATACATATTAACAAATCTTCTAAATGAGTGTGTCCATTTTCTTTTACCTTTTCTACGCCAGAAGGTTTAATGCATTTCCCTGCTTCAACGAGAAATAGTTTAAAATACCTAAATACGTCCCTATTTTAGCTTTCTACATTGACATTACTGCAACAAATATGACTTTTAATCCATGATGATAAAATCCAAGCAATCTAAAACAAAGAAGACATTTTTAAATATCGCTGAAAACGATGTGAGGCAGTGTAATATTCAGTTGTGTTTTTCTTATACACGAAAATCATAATATTTTATCATATGAAAAAACAAATACCTTGAGCATTTGAGGTTTTACCTCTCGTTGTACATGTGTTTGTCCAATTGCAATAAGGACACCATTCAGAAACTGAGAATCATCAAGGCTCTCCACTGCTGCCCCAAGGCCTTCTAACACTGTAACCGCATGTTTTTGTAACATATCGCGATCAATATTACACTCAAGTTTATTGTCTTGGTTCATCTGAACTATTTTTGGAAACAGGGACTTCATATTCGGCTCTGTCTCAAAGAATCTGAAATCATTATAAAACATACATTAAAGGCATATTATGCTTCAGAAATTTAATTTATATTAATTCTTTTGAAATGTGTTTAATAATAAGTTCCCAATACAAGGTTTTCCTTGAATACCATAACCGTTTCGTGCAATCATATATGTATTAAAGACCCATTATGCCTCATTATTGCTATTATCTTTATTTCCCAAATGCTTTTTACTTTCAATTTGGTATCTTGTCGCAGTTTCTATAGAAATACTCATTCGCATGATATATCTTTTGTTGTTGTTATTGTTTTGCTCTGTTGGCTATTGGTTTAATTTTAGTAAATAACTATTTTGTATGGAATTCAAAATACTAATTTGTTTATATTTTGCTTCATTAACGACACAATACTGTATAGTTAGCACTTCATTTTTCAGTTATTAAACATTTATAACAACAGTAACACAAGGTTAGATAAGTCATATTCAAGTCAGTACAGATGACAAATATACATCAAAAAGTCCTACATTTGAATACGAGTATATTGACAATATATTGAGAGTTCTGTCGTCTTAAATGTAATGTAAAAGAAACAAAAAAAAAATGAAAATCAAAAGCAAAATGACACCATTGTTATTTATGTTAATTTAAAAGTATAATTAAACAAAATAGGACAAACAAATAGAAACGTTTGAATTTTCCGAGAATCAATATGTTACACAACAAAACAGCCTTTAACGTAAAAACTATTCTTTATATTATCACATGAATTTCAATATTCATGTCAAATTATAAGATTTGGTGTAAACAAGTTATCATTTTTCCTTTCATAAGTGACATTCCATCAAATTTAAAATTATTGCAATTTAAATTGTTATGTAATCATATAAAATAAAGTAGAATGGAAGTCTGCAGCAATCAGCTGAAAATATTGTATATTGTACCGTATATGAGACAAAGCACTTTCCAGTTGCTAAAAGTTATTCATATGAGATGAAAATAATCTGTATCGGCAATACAGTATTCTTGTTAAAACCCTTCTCAAGTAAAACGGAACGTGGCGTTATTCTCATCCTTAAGAAACAGAATATCATTTACGTGAGAATTATGTTCCATTAGCCACATTTTCATCAGTAAACGGAATAATTACTGTTGGAAAATTGCTCAATTAACCAGAGTATTGGTTTTATGACAGAAGAGGCATAATTGATCGTTTGCTTTTCGCCTATGAGAAGAATTTCGCTTTTATAAGATATAGCAAATCAGGGAGAAAAAAAATCACACTATTTAATGGCGCAATTGTATTAAATTATAGCATAACTGTTTATAATTCATCTCTTTGATAAATGTATCTATGTTGAAACACTTTTTTGTAATAAACAAAGCATCTTTAATCAGTCAGTTATTTATAATATTTGAATTTACATATCTTTACAAATCAAATCAAATAATGATTTTTCGCAAACAACCTTTTTGTAAAAGGTTTGAAATTCTGTTTTTATTATGGTTAAAAGGATATCGGATCAATGATAAATGCACATTTCTTGACATTAGCTTTAAACATTTTTATGTGAGTATAATGACTTATAGTCGAGATTTGTAACATGAAAGCGGACTATCAAGAAGCAAATAATAAGAATGTATTTTATATTGTTTAATCCCCAATTTATGTAAGCAAATGGTTCGTCTTTTAGAAAGTACTTGCTGATGAACATCACAATTATCCATTGTGAAAACAATCAAAATAATTACATTATAATGGAATACTAAAGGCTTTTCAATAGATGAAGTTTTTTTTATACAGTAAGCATTTAAATAGAAGCCTGTCAAGTACACAATCAAACTAACTTATAATATACATGTATAGAATATTTAAGCAAATAAGGCACATTATGATAATGTCTGAATATTTGGTGAAAATGGTCTGTATCGAAAGTACAGCATATCAAGCCATATTGTGACAGTATTGACTGTGTTGAAATTTGGTTCAAATTCATAATAATACATTGTTTGAACAAACGCACAACGAAATCGAAAAATAAATTGAAAATTTACAGTTTGATTATACAATTTGGGAAAACTTAAAGTTGTTGGGTAAAATCATTTAGATCTCAGAAATCACATGTATAAGGGTTTTCTTTATATAAAACAACTTTTTATACATATATATTACAAAACATATACTATTTAGGTCTTATTGTCGATTCTCATGTAACGAATAATAGCAATATCATAAAGTGTTATCAATAATATTAAACTTGCCTTATATACAAAATGATATGTTCGATTTATCTTGTTTATTAAAATTTATTTTAGATAAATTGTAATAAAAAGAGAAAACAATATCAAAATAAAAACTGACACTTATTTATTAAACTGACATTAACCATCATGTATGATTTACCTTGTAAAAATAATAAGTCCGAGCCTTGGAAGGTCAGAATTAATAAGACCCCATGACGATTGTACCAGATAAATTTGATCTTGTGTCAAACACGTATGTAACTGTTTTCCTTTATGTCGTATAGGTAAATCACATGTGACAAACTTATTTCCCATTTTTATTGTTATTATTTGCTTAAGTACACTTATAACTCCTCATTTTCAATGAAACAATTGTATTAGTAAGCTTATTTTATTCCACTTTAGTTTGGCCACGATATATCATCAAATGAAGTCTTGATACTCTTAGATTCAGATGTTAGTAAGAACAGAATTAAAGTCCATGCGGTCACTATAGATAAAGTTTTAATTACAATTCCATATGTTATTTCTACATCAAGACGCATTCACGTAGTGTCTCTCACTATAATGGTAGTCTCGTCTTTTTATAACACCAATAAAGCGTTTCTGTACGGCGCCTTGATCATGCGTCTTATATTACATTTTCAAGAACATGACTGTAGGAAAATTAGAGAGTAAAGGAGAGTATGGCGAACATTATGTCCAGACATCATCATACTTTAAAAGTTCAAACATGTAAAACTTTTATTAAATAATTCCTTTCATGACAATTTTTTGTTTGTTTTATAAACACATTAGGGTGAGACATTAAATATCAATAAACTTGAACGATTGCCTAAACAAAGTATAACGGGAAAATGCTTTTGTATATTTAAATTCTGCACCTTGCTTTGAATGATGCTTTTGAAAAGTCAAAGAAATAAAACGGCCTTTGAAAACCCTTGCAAATGATTCAATCGTTTTAATTATTCGTCCAAAATGATACAAATTACTGACCAGACAACATTTATATAGTCACTATTTTCAAAATTTAAAACATTTACAAAATAATGTTCTGGTAGCTATTCTTTTCATGGAAATACAGATCCCTTAATTTATCTAAGAAATAGCTATTGCTACTTCATGAATGGCTTTTTATACATCGACCTTAGAACATCTCATTGTAACCTACTTCATACTTCATTCATCGCTTGAATGAAATTTACATATTCTTGATTGCATGTGAATTTGTTGACAATCGTTAGCGCTGTCTCTGACACTAGAAAGCTGATTGACGTCATACAGAATACTTGCACATTGAACAGCTTTTTGTGGACATTCAAGTGAACAATGATTTTATCTACTGACGTTGTAATTCTGTAAGAGGCATCTCTTCTTTCGACTTAAAATGTGCAATACAATTATATTTCAGTATATGATACACATATAAGATATGCTGACGTACTTTGTAAAAGGCTTGACTTGATAAAAGAAGGTTTAGTGGTAGGTCAAAAGAAATATTTAAAACAAGCCTTAAACTGGATGAATGTAGAAACTTTTAAAATAGAAAGATTAAAAACTGCCACTGCCACCGACCATAACTCATACCATTAATTTCCTACATAGAAATGAATATTTAGGGGAATATTGAAAACGATAATGAAATATATGTTTCACATTTATTTTCTGATAAAATATTGTTTGTTTGTTTGTCTTTTTATGCTGATTTTTACACATTGTTGGTCATATCTCGGTGGTAGGTCTACCATACCGGCTTACCCGGATAACAAGAAAATAGAGAAAATAAGAATCCCTAAAGAAAATCCCAACACGTCAAAATTGAAAATGTTGCAGGCTCGATTTGATTAAGCCTGTTCATGGACGGTACTGTCAAGTGCAAACTACCGTCCACGCCCCCTAGCACCGGCTTAAGCAGAATTCAACATTTAAACATATGGTGAAAATTTTAAATTTAGAAACATCCGAAGATGTGTTCAGCATTACCAAATTCTCTGCTAGTAACCGACAGCTTATACCGGTTGACTGCTAAATCATTGGTACATTTTTGTTCAAGCATTTAATAAAATATGACAAGAAAGTGCGAAAGCATTTTATCACATTTGTACGTGGATACGAGTAATAATGTCATCTGAAATCTCCAAGGACTTTATCTTCATCGCTTGGATTGAGATTTACTTCATCATATGTTTAATATGTATCTGTGCTAGATAGCATTGTAATGTAAAGCTATGTGACGTAAGCAGTTGCTTTATTCTGTTATTTATTTTATCATCGCTCTCGTATGTTTATTGTTGAACGTAATGAATCTTGACAGTCGTAATGGATATTTGGAATTGGAACACAATGCATTTAAGAAAAGCTGTTCAAAATAAAACAATAAAAGTTTTTCTACTATTTTTTATTTGTCTCTTCTATTCAAATCGTTTTGTGTGTACTTTTTGAACGTGTATGTTACTATAAAGTAAATGTATTTGTCCGTATTTAACTTGACTAGTTCTTCTATCTGATTAAGAACAATAGTTTACAATCGGCACATTTTCAAAATGTATTTCAAATATATATCAAAACAAAAGAAATGTATAATTTGGATATTCTTATAAATATTATTGATAGAATTTTAAGTGATTATGTTTGAACAATTATACGTATGATAAAAATATTTTGTTCGATGACATTTTATTTTCTGCTATGTAATATCGGAGCATGTATCTAACATTTACCAATAACATCGATGGCACGGTTTGTTGTCATGTAGGATACTAAATACTATCAACATAATTATCTGT